TGTGCAACGAATGTAAGCGGCGCTAGGGCGAGAGCCACATATTGAAAACCACCCGCCCTCAATCCGCGAATCTCTGGCAATTTTTAAACATGAGTGTGTGCGGCGCTGAGGCGAGAGCCACATGTTGGAAAGGAGCCGCCCTCAATTTGTGAAGCTCCTGCAAATTTGTAAAACGAATGTGCGCGGCGCTGAGGCGAGAGCCACATGTTGAAAGCGATTCGCCCTCAATCCATGAATCTCTGGCAAATTTTCGAAACGAAGGTGCGCGGCGCCAAAGCGACAGCCACGTTTTGAAAACGATCCGCCCTCCATCTGCGAAGCTGTTGCCAATCTTTAAGCTTCAGGGGGTTATAAATTGTGAGGAGGTTTCAGGCGAAACGCCCGACCCGCCCTAAAACTTGCCTCGGGGTGCGACAGGGAACAGTTGTTTGTATGGATAAGGAGGAGGAGGAGAAGGAGGAGGAGGAGGAGGAGGAGGAGGAGAAGGAGGAGAAGGAGGAGGAGGAGGAATCATCGAACTCTCCCCCAGGGGCAGTTCCAGCAGCCGGGGCAGTTCCAGCAGCCGGGGCAGTTCCAGCAGCAGCCGGGCCAGTTCCAGCAGCCGGGGCAGTTCCAGCAGCAGCCGGGCCATTTCCAGCAGCCGGGGCAGTTCCAGCAGCAGCAGCAGCAGCAGCAGCAGCAGTTCGCCGGCCAATGCCTCAGGCGTCCTTGATCCGCTTGCCGAAGGTTGGTCGGGATGCTTTGTCTTCGCGCTGATGTTTGGCAGAAGCTTCTTGGCTCCTGGGGGGATCGTCGCAGCGATATCTCGATGACGCGGATCGAATAACCAGGGACCGTCCTTTTTTTGAGCGGATTCTGGATCGAATATGTAAGCAGCGTAAATCCGTCCAGTCAGGACTGCTGAGTAGAGGCCAGCTTCTCGGTTTGGCGGGTGGAAGGGGTCCGGGCTGTGGAGCAGCACGACGCCCAACCCGATGCCCAGTTCGACGGTATGCAGGAAGACGACCGAGCCACCTGCAAGCAGCAGCATGCATCTGCAGCGGCCAGCGCGGGACTGCCCTGGAGCGGGACCGAGCAGATTACTCTGAAGACCGATGAATGGGTGTGACCCGTCGGGCTCTGGCCATCGCTCGCAACGCCAACACAGGGCCCTGGCTTGCTAGGGGCCGCGGCAGCGGCGGCTGTTGGCACGGCGCCAGTAGAGACGGCTTGGCCCGTGGCCAAACCCGACGCCCAGCATGACGCCCCGCACGACGCCCTGCGCGGAGACCGAAATACGGAAGGCCACTCTGTGGCTGGCGCAACTGCAGCATCGGCGGCGACGGCACTGGCTTTCGGAGCAGCCTAAGGAATGGAAGGCTGCACCCAGCTGGCGCGGCTGCGGCCACAGCGGCGACGGCCTCGGCTTTCGGCGAGGGCTGCACGGAGCACGACGCTCAGCCCGAAGCCCAGCCCATTGCCATGCTCTTACAGCACGAGGCTTCCCTGGAGGCGAGGAGGATGGCAGAGGCGGCACCGACTTCGACCGACGCCCTGCGTGACGCTGCCGCCCACAGCGTTGCGCTCGAGGCCCGGTTGGAGCGCTGCGTCAAGGCACGCACGGCTGCCCAGAGCGGGGGCTGCCGCGGCTCAGCAATGCGGCAAACAGGCTTGGTGCTTAGGGCTGCCAGGCTGCAAGCCGCCGCATGCTCCCTGCGGCTCCTGCTCGAGTCGTACAGGTGGTTCCGCGGCCGCCGCCAGCGCGGCTGCGCCCAGCTACATGTTGTAAAGGAGCCAGGCGCGGCAGGCAAGCCGTTCCGTCCCGAGGGGGCGTCGAGCAGAGACGGCTGCTGCAGTCGCTGCGAGATGAGACGGCGGCGAACCTCCACTTGGCGCCCGTCGGACCCACAGCGCCGCTGCCGTGGCGGCGGGCGTTCAGCATGCCTCGGGCACGACCCCACCCAGGCAAGCCGAGTAGTCCATCCGTTTTGTGTGTGAGGCTCGAGGCGGCCTGGGCTGTGGAAGGGGGAGACCTTGGCGAGGCTCGATGAGGCCGCTCCCGACCTCTCAGAAGCTGCGGCGAGCATGCTGGGGCCAGGCCCTGGACCTGGTCGCACCACCCGCCCGGCTTGCCGTTGTGTTGGGCGTATGAAAAAAAATACTCCGACGGAAGGACCCCACATGAGAATCTCTTTAGCTTGCATGGGGGTATCCTCCTGCCCCTTCCCTTCTCCCACCTACTCTTGCCTCCTCGTTCTCGTCCTGTCTGCTCCTCCTCCTGCCTCAACCCCTGCCTCTTCCTCCTCTTCTTGCCTCCTCCACCTCCTCCCCCTCCCCCTCGTTATGCTTCCTGCCCCCCATTCCCCCTGCCCCTCCTGCCTCCTGCCTCCTCCTCCTGCTGCTCTCCCTTCTCCCTTCTCCCCTCCTCCTCCTCCTCCGCCTCCTATCATCATTATCATTCATCCCATTGCCCTCCTCCCCTCTCCCCTCCCTCACCCCGTTCCTCCTCCCCTCCTCCGCGCTTCTCCATCGAATTCATGTGACAGGCCACTCCCCCCCCCCCCCCTCCTCCCTCCCTCCTCCTCCTCCTCCTCCTCCTCCTCCTCCTCCTCCTCCTCCTCCTCCTCCTCCTCCTCCTCCTCCTCCTCCTCCTCCTCCTGCCTCTTCCTTAGGCCTCCTGCCCCCTCCTGGGGCGTCTTGGGGCCGCCTGGAGCCTTCTGGGCCTTCCGGGACCTACTGGGGCCTCCTCGGGCATTCCTCCTCCTCCTATTCCTCCTCGCCCTTCCTCCCCTCAGCCTCTTCCTCTTCCTGCTTTCCTGTCCCGTCCTGCATCATCCCTCCTTCTTTTCCTGGCAATCCTCCTCCTCCTCGTCCTCGTGCGGAACACGACCCAGAGGAAGCGCACGACGTGCGTCCCAGCCGATACGCGCCGGAGGACGACCCAGAGGAAGAGCGCGCCTGAGGATGACCCGGAGGAACCACGTGAGCTGCGGGACCCATAGGAAGGCTCCCGCCTGACGCGTCCTCACAATTCACTCACAGACGAGGGTCCCGCTGGATACTTCTTCCAAATTCAGACCTGAGGAGCCCAAAAGTGACGACGGTTACAGGAATCCGATGACCCGCTCGGATTAGTAACATGATCTGCGGGCCCCATAGGGAGGCGGCTCCCGCCTGAGACTTGCTCGCAATTCTACTGACAGACGAGGCTCCCGCCTGATATTTCCCTCCAAAATTTCAGACCTGAGGAGCCCAAAAGTGACGACAGTTACAGGAGATCCGATAATGACCCGCTCGGATTAGTAACAGATCTGCGAGCCCCCTAGGGCGGGGGCTCCCGCCCGCCTGAGACTTCCTCACACTTCACTCACAGACGAGGTTACCGCTTGATACTGCTACCGCTTGATACTTCGTCCAGAGTCAGACCTTGGAGGATCCCAAAAATGACGCAATACAGGAATCGTATTGACCGCTCGGATATTAGTAAACATGATCTGCGGGCCCCATAGTGAGGGGGGTCCCGCCTGAGACTTCCTCGCAATTCACTCACAAACGAGGCTCCCGCTTGACACTTCCTCCAAATTCAGACCTGAGGAGCCCAAAAGTGACGACAGTTACAAGAATCCGATGACCCGCTCGGATTAGTTACATGATCTGCGGGCCCCATGGGGAGGGGGCTCCCGCCTGAGACTTCCTCACAATTCACTCACAGACGAGGCTCCGCTTGATCAATTCTCCCAAATTAAGACCTGAGGCGCCAACCCAAAAGTGACGACAGTTACAGGAATCCGATGACCCGCTCGGATTAATAACATGATCTGCGGGCCCTATAGGGAGGGGGCCCCCGCTTGAGACTTCTTTACAATTCAATCACAGACGAGGCTCCCGCTTGATACTTCCTCCAAATTCAGACCTGAGGAGCCCAAAAGTGACGACAGTTAAAGGAATCCGATGACCCGCTCGGATTAATAACATGATCTGCAAGCCCCATAAGGAGGGGGCTCCCGCCTGAGACTTCCTCACAATTTACTTACAGACGAGGCTCCCGCCTGATATTTCCTCCAAATTCAGACCTGAGGAGCCCAAAAGTGACGACAGCTACAGGAATCCGATGACCCGCTCGGATTAGTAACATGATCTGCGGGCCCCATAGGGAGGGGGCTCCCGCTTGAGACTTGCTCGCAATTCACTGACAAACGAGGCTCCCGCCTGATACTTCCTCCAAATTCAGACTTGAGGAGCCCAAAAGTGACGACAGTTACAGGAATCCGATGACCCGCTCGGATTAGTAACATGATCTGCGGGCCCCATAGGGAGGGGGCTCCCGCCTGAGACTTCCTCACAATTCACTCACAGTACGAGGCTCCCGCCTGATTCTGCCTCCATATTCCAGGCCTCAAGAGCGAGTGTGATGATGGTGGTGATGACTGATGATTGCGATTTATCTGATGATGATGATGATGATGATGATAATGATGATGATGATGATGATGATGATGATGATGATGATGATGATGATGATGATGATGATGATGATGATGATGATGATGATGATGATGATGATGATGATGATGATGATGATGATGATGATGATGGTCGTTCGATGCCGATGATGGTGAGTGATCGTCCGATGGTGATGGTGATGCTGATGGTGATGATGATGATGAGTGGGGAGTGAAGTGATGGTGATGGTGATGATGATGTGGAGGAGGAAGCAAAGAGGAGCAGAGGAGAGGGAGGAGGACGAGAGATCCTGCGCGGAGGGTGTGCAGAGAAAACAAGAATCCCACTTGGGATGTGGGGAAAAACCAGGCGGGCGTTAGCCTGCGTGCGGCGCATCGTTCAGGCCGCGCACAAGGGGTCTCCTCGCGAGCCCCTCCGCAGTCCCGTGCGCAGACGCGCCGCTGCTGCGGCATATCCCAGGGACATGCTCCTCTCCCCTTCCGCTCGTTCTCACCGTTGTCGCTCATCTCCTCATACATACTTCTTGCTCATCATTCGATCGGCCGTCTCGTTCTGGTAGAGTGCTGACGCGGCATCCGTCGATAACAAAGTGCTATATTGCGACTTGATGACATTAGCGGGGGGCGCGTGTACACAAAACAAACAACATGATATTAGCATAGCCTCGGGGGCCTCTTGGGGGCTGTTGTGGGGATCTTGGGGCTGCCTTGGGGGATCTTGGGGCTATCTGGAGGATCTTGGGGTCCTTTCTGGGGTTGTCTCGGGGTCGTCTTGAGCCATTCTTGAGCCGTCTCCGTCTTGAGCTGGCCTTGAGGCCGCCTCGGTGGGCCTTTGGGTTGTCTCAGGGTCACCTTGGGGTCCTCCAGGGGCTACCCAGACCGCTGGAGCGCAGCTTGGAACGGCCCCAAGGCCGTCCAGAGGGGTCGGAATGAGAGGTGATGGGAGGGGAGGTGTGATAATTGAAGGTATTATATCTTATGGAACAGGAATCCTGGGGAGGCTTGTCCAAGGGGGGTTGTCCGGGGGGGTTGTCCGGATTCTTGTGGGGTTGTCCAAGGGGTTGTCCGGGCCGCGTCGTGTCAGCACGTGCGCATATCATTATCATGCATACCATCAAAAGCATGGCACAACCAGGGAAGCCCAGTTGGAACTGTTGACTTTTTTCCCCACTTTTCCTTGCTTCGGCTCCCGTTTGCACGCCCTTCTTTATCGCGCTTCCCCAAACAGCTATGCTGAGTGGGGTCCTGTTGCGGTAGAAGCTAGTTCTGGCCAATGGGTCAGCGCTCAGAGACATCCTCCATCATCGGGGGTGACCTGGCCAGTTTCGCCAGAGACGTCCTCGCAACTCTGGGTTCGGAGATGCCCTGAACTGAGGTGGTCTGGTCAGTTCGGCTTGACACATTTTCGCAATATGCCGGCGTTCCCGCATCTCTGGGCTCGGAAATGCAGCGCGCGAGGTGGTCCAGCCAGTTCATCCAGAGACATCAGGGCGCGGAGATGTAGCGCGCGAAGTGGTCCAGCCAGTTTCGCCAGAGACATTCTCGCAATTTTGGGTTCGGAGATGCCACGCGAGAGCTGGTCTGGCCACTTCTGCTTGAGATATCCTCGCAACACTGCGCGCTGGCCACGTCCCTGATTGGGAACGGTACTCTCGCCTCAACCCTTGCGACATCCTTCATTGGGTACTTATGGTGTTGCGGCTCGAGTGCCAGCAACCATCCGTGATTGGGAATGGTGCTCTCGCCTACATCTCCGTCTGGTATTGGTGCTGTCGCCTTCGCGCTGACCACATGCTGCCTCATCATTATGCGTGATGCTCTAGCCTCAGCGCCGGTCACTTCCCTAAGTGGGTATTGTGCTGCCGCTCGGGCGCCAGCCACAATCACGTGCTGGGACGCAGGGGTTGTAGGGGTTGTCCGGCGGGTTGTCCCAGGATTTTGTTGGTTATGTTTTTTTCCATTTGACATAGTAGGGGAGGGTACGGAGATGCGGGCCGGTGAGCGGGAAGGGGAGGGAAGAGGAGGGGCACGGGAGGGCTGGGTGCGTTGGATGGGGCGGGGCAGGGGGAGGAGAGGGAAGCACGGCAAGAATTCTTCGCTGACCTGGGCCCCTGGGGATCTAGCCCCCTTCCCCGAAAGCATGCTGCCGTCCTGAGCTGCTCTCTGACGGCCTCTGGGCTGGTAAGCGGCCTCCCTTGGGGGAGCGCGTCAGAACAACCGCCGTGAAGTTTTTCGGTTACTTGAAGGAGGAGGAGGAGGAGGAGGAGGAGGAGGAGGAGGCGTAAGGAGGATCTGCAGTGATGACCTACTCGTCGAGCCGAGCGCCTTGGGTTCGAGGATCGACGAATCGCGGGGATCGCCGCGGCGGGAATGCCGAGGCCCAGGCGCGCCCAACCAGGGCGTGCCGAACCCTGGCCAGGCGTTTGCCAGCGGGCTAGGCGAGCTCCCCCCCTTGTTGGGGTGCCAGGAGGAGGAGGAGGAGGAGGAGGAGGAGGAGGAGGAGGAGGAGGAGGAGGAGGAGGAGGAGGAGGAGGAGGAGGAGGAGGAGGAGGAGGAGGAAGGCACATTCGAGCAGCAGATCTGCAGGGACTTCGCAACCAAACACTTTTGTGGCGGAGGCCTCGAGCACGGTGTCGACCTCACCGTGCTCTCAAGGCTCATCCGTGGCCATCGACGTGCGCAACGCCACGGACATGCAGCACTGCTCGAGCGCATAGCTACAGGAGCCGTGTGGCCAGGATATCGGCGTTACCCTGACGAGCCTGATCGACAAAAATGCCCTCGGTGTACAGCTGCACGCCTCCATCCCCTGCCCGTCGAAGACATACTACATCAACAGTGGAAGTTCCCGTGCCTTAACGCGACAGAGCACACAGCCTTTGACCTCCTCCCGCATATAGAAGGTCAACATGAAGACGGGGCTTGTTTTTGGCATCGAGGAATCGTCCCGATCCTCTCTGGATTTACCCGCACATTGACAAGTTCCCAGAATGGAAGTTTTGAGTGTTCAGGAGGCGTTGCTCAGGAACAGCGTCTCCAGCTCCCCCCGGATGCCCTGGTAGGTACTGATGGAAGCGGAGGCGACCACACTAATGACCCAAGGCTCCGTAGATGTGGCTGGGGTTTTGCCATTCGTTCCCAGGGTGCCATCCTTAGGGAAGCCTGGGGCCCGCTCCTCGGACGGCACCAGGCGGTGCCCTTGGCGGAGCTGGAGGGCCTTACGCAGGCCCTCAAGCATACCCAGGGACCAGCCACTTTTGTTGTAGACTGCGCCTGCGTCCTGAAAGAATTGCATGCTGGCCCTGGCCAGACCCCGCCCTTGCATGCTGCAGCATGGGCTCGTTTTGGAATGAATGTAACGTCAGGCCAGGAGAAGCGCAGTTTATCAAGGTGAAGAGCCACCTCGCAGAGACTGGCATCGGCCGATTTGTCTCCGAGGGCGGGTTCCGATGCAATGAGGCTGCTGGCGAGGCGGCTAAGAGAGGAGCTGCCTTCGCCCAGCTTCCCCCAGTCCCTCGCCGAGGTTGCCCGAATCGACTCCCTGGCCAAGAAGGTTTTGAAACTCTTGCTCGAGGTAGGTTTGGCGGGGGTCCTGGCCAGGCAGGCTGACGCCACAGCCCCAGGAGCCCCGACCCCAACCGATTTCGTTGCCGCCCGCAGAGAGCGGCGTGATGGCCGAATCGCTGCTAGATTGGACGCCCGCCAAGCTACCAACCACCAGGTGGTTCCACGCCGGAGCACCTCTTTTTGTTCTGTCCTTGCATTTGTACCAAACTCAAGCCCTCTTGTAGTCGCTCTGAGAAGGAGGAAGAGGAGAATGATGAGGATGAGGAGGATGAGGATGATGATGAGGATGAGGATGATGATGCTGCTGCTGATGACGATGACGACGAGGATGATGATGACGATGATGATGATGCTGGTGATGATGATGCTGATGCTGATGATGATGCTGCTGCTGATGATGATGCCGATGATGTTGATGACGATAATGATGCTGATGATGATGATGATGGTGATGATGATGAGGAGGAGGAGGAAGAGGAGGAAGAGGAGGAGGAGGAGGAGGAGGAGGAGGAGGATGAGGAGCGAGGAGGAGGAGGAAGAGAAGAGGAGGAGGAGGAGGAGGAGGAGGAGGAGGAGGGAAGAGGAGGAGGAGGAGAGGAAGGGAAAGAGGAGCAGGAGGAGGAGGAGGAGGACGAAGAGGAGGAGGAGGAGGGAGGAGGCGAGAAGGAGGATGAGTGGAGGAGGCGGAGGGGGAGGCGGAGGGGGAGGCGGAGGAGGAGGCGGAGGAGGAGGAGGACGAGGAGGAGGAGGAGGAGGAGGAGGAGGAGGAGGAGGGGGAGGAGGAGAAGGAGGAGGATGAGGACGAGGAGGACGAGGAGGAGGAGGAGGAGAAATAATAAGAGGAAGAGGAAGAAGAGGAAGGGGAAACAATTTAATGATAATGGTAATACTAACGCGAAAAACAATCTTTGTAATACTAGTAATAGTATGAAGAATAGTAATAATAAGAAGAAGACGAAAAAGACGAATACGACGAATCATTATATTTGTTATATGAAAACTACCAGTAATAATACGAAGCAGAATAATCATATTAATAATAATGATAAGACGTAAATGAATAATAACATTGCTTATAGGAAAATACTAAGACGACCGATAAGAATAATGATAATAATGAGAAGAACCAAGCGACTAATCATATTTTTTAATAATACTAGTAGCAATAATAATAAATATAACAATTCTTGATACTACTGCTAATGATACTAGGAATAACAATAACCATAATAATAAGGCGACTGAGAAGAATAATAAGAGTAATACATACAATCCTATTACTAATGATACTAAGAGTACTATGAACATTACGACGAATAATAAACCGAATAAGAAGCACACGAATAATACGAATGATAATGCCACGACGAGTAATACGATACTAAGAAAACAAATGATAACAACACAACGAAGAATAGTAATACGAATAATAAGAAGACGAAAATAATAATATCAATTCTAGACGCTTCGCGTATCCCCACCAGCCCGTCCAGAAATGAGCCCCAGAGGAGTGGAGGTGATGAGGGAAGCGGGGGAGCATGCAGAAGAACAAAGAGCGGGTTAAGCCGCCATACGTTCCAAGAGGGGGAGGATGTAGGAGGAGTCGTCGTCTTCGGAGTAGGAGGAGGAAGACGAGGAGCAGGAGGAGGAGCAGGAGGAGGAGGGGGAGGAGGAAGAGGAGGAGGAGGAGGAGGAAGATGAGGAGGAGGAGATGGAGGAGGGCGAGGACGAGGAGGACGAGAAGGAGGAGGAGGAGGAGGAGGAGAAGGAGGAGGAGGAGGAGGGGGAGGGGGAGGAGGGAGGAAGGAGAAAAAGAGGAGGAGGAGGAGGACAATGGCGAGCTTGGGGGCCTCTTGGGCCGTCTTTGGGGCCTCTTGGCGGTCCCGGGGGCCTCTTGCGTATCTCGGGGAGCTTATTGTGTCCTTTTGAGAGTCTCTTGGAGGCCTCTTGGAGGCCTCTTGGGGGCCTCTTGGGGCCTCTTGGGGCCCTCTTGGGGCGCTCTTGGGGCGCTCTTGGGAGCCTTCGGGGCGCTCTTGGGGCCATCTTGGAGGAGATCGATCAAAGAAGGGAGGGTCGTATATTAGCGCTGCCCCTCTAGAGTGCCTCGAATCGCCTCTTGGGCCCTTCTTGAGGCCAAAATCCGTCCAAAACCTAATGAAAATCAATGTTGTTTGCTTTCTCGCCTTTTCGCTCTTGGAGCCGTCTTGGGCCATCTTGGGAGCATCTTGGGGCCTCTTGGGGGTCTCTTGGGAGCTTCTTGGAGGCATCTTGGGGGCCTCTTGGGGCCTCTTGGGGCTCTCTTGGGGCGCTCTTGGGGCGCTCTTGGGAGCCTTCGGGGCGCTCTTGGGGCCATCTTGGAGGAGATCGATCAAAGAAGAGGGGGTCCCCAATTAGCGTTGCCCCTCTAGAGTGCCTCGAGTCGCCTCTTGGGCCCCCCAAGAGGCCAAAATCCTTCCAAAACCTAGGTAAAATCAATGTTTGTTGATTTCTCGCCTTTTCGCTCTTGGAGCCGTCTTGGGCCATCTTGCACTCTCTTGGAGCCTCTTGGGGGTCTCTTGGCAGCCTCTTGGAGGCTTCTTGGGGGCCTCTTGGGGTCTCTTGGGGCCCTCTTGGGGCGCTCTTGGGGCGCTCTTGGGAGCCTTCGGGGCGCTCTTTGGGCTATGTTGGATGAGATCTATCAAAGAAGGGGGGAGCCTTAATTAGCCTCGCCCCTCTAGAGTGCCTCGAGTCGCCTCTTGGGCCCCCCCAAGAGGCCAAAATCCGTCCAAAACCTAGGTAAAATCAATGTTTTGTGTTTTCTCGCCTTTTCGCTCTTGGAGCTGTCTTGGGTCATCTTGGACGTCCCAACGCGTCGCGGAACGCCTCGTCCAGGTCAGTGGGGAGGGGTAAGGGGAGGGGTAAACCCCTCCCCGAAGGGGAAGAAGGGGGTTGGCAGAGGAAACTCTCTAGACCACCTACGCCCTAAAGGGCTGGTGGGATACTACTGGTGCGACAGTTAAGAACAATAAGGATAAGACACATAATACTACCAATCAGAAGAATAGTACTAAGAAGAATAACGATACGAGTACTACTAATATTATGAATAAGAACAATGAGAGTACGCATGGTACTAATACTACTCATAAGAATAATGATAAGAAGAAGCAGGCGACAACGAATACGACGAACCATAATAATACCCATAGTCTTACTAATATTACTAATTAGAAGAATACTAAGAACAATACTAATATCAAGACCAATCCTAATCATACGAGTAGTAATACCAGCACTAATGCTACGAATAATAGTAGTACTAATGATACTAGTCCTACTACTAATATCAGCAATCATAATACTGATAATAATAATGATGATAATACTAGTAGTAATAGTGATAGTAATAGTAATAGTAATACTTATAATACTAATACTAATACTAATACTAATACTAATACTAATACTAATACTAATACTAATACTAATACTAATACTAATACCAATACTAATACTAATCCTAATACTAATACTAATACTAATACTAATACCAACACTAATACTAATAATAGTAATAACAATAGTAATACTGATAAAACTAATAATACTAAAAATGATACTAATCATATTCATGATCATAATCATACCAATACTACTACTACTACTACTACTACTACTACTACTACTACTACTACTATTATTAATAACAATAACAATAATAATAATGATAATACTGATCATGATCATAACCATGATAATAATCGTAATAGTAATATCCAATATACTACGAATAATAAGAATACTCATTATCATACTACTACTAAGAAGATGATGAGGAGGAGGAAGAGGAGGAGGAGGAGGAGGAGGAGGAGGAGGAGGAGGAGGAGGAGGA